GGTTTGACAGTCACCGCACGCACTCACGTACTTGTGCCAGGCATCCAGTAATAATCCCCCTGAGCGCTGCCTCCAGAGCACAGGTGCAACCTTTCCCACTGCCCTTCTCCCTCCACCCATACGATCTGTCGCTTGAGTGATTCGTCACCCATCCTCCATAGCTTCTCCTTCAACCAGTGATGGTTGCAATATATATATATATATATATATATTTGTTTCTCCAGAACATTTTCACTTTTAATTTTGTTGAAATGTCTACTGTGTAATAAAGTTCTTTCTAGACAAAAATCTATCACTTTCTAGCTTTATAAAAACACTGTTTCCCAAAGTAAAAGTTGCTTCTCAAGATAATCTTTGCCTTACACTTTCCTATCTTCAGTGTCTAGCTCAGTGACTACACATGGTAGATACTCAATATTTGACAGCTCATCAATTTATCATTCCCTAAAAGTTGTCACTTCCTCAACTGCAGTCCCACTGAATGGCTCCTTCATGGCTTTTCATATAATCAGGCTGTCATTTCTCTCATCTTAGAAAAACTGTGGTCTAGTTAATATTACTGTACCAATTTGTTCATTTCTTAGTTTTGATAAATATAGTTAAACATTCAAGGAATCTAAGCAAAGAGTATATTGGAACTGGACTAACTTTGCAAGTCTAAAATTATTTCAAAATAAAGTTTAAAAAAAAAACCGAAAAAACCCCTATGAATAAAATTAATGGTGTTCCCTTGATCCCATTTCCCTTCCCAGCTACCATCCATCTTTTTCTTTCTGTTTATAGTAAAATATGTTGAAACCATTATTTATTCTCATTCTAATTTCTTTCCTCTCAATGTTTTTACTCCCACTGTCCATCTTATCAAACTCTCCAGGGACCTTCCCATTACCAAATCAATGCTGAGTGATCACTCATCCAATCACATCTTTCCTGTCCTGTTGGCAGCAGGACACAGTTCACCAGTCCATCCTCCATAAAATGCTTTCTTCATGTGGCTTTCTGGCATTAAGTTCATCTACTTTTCCTTCTATCTGTTTATTAGAGCACTTTTTACACATAAGAGCCAAAAGTCTCATCAGCTCCCATGACAGTGTGGGCCATTGACAGAGCAGGGACAACCTGAGATAAGTGACCATCAAACAAGTAACTGCAATAGATAAAAACAATCTAATGTACAAAAAGCCTTGACTTCATAATGATAGTTTAAATAATCTCACTGGTCATATTTGGAGGTTGCTAAAGCACCAAATCATATATCCTAATTGATGAATAAAAGGAGACTCATATAGACTCATTTCAGGGTAATCAAAGCTAATCAGGTACAGTTTTTAGAGAAAAATAGGCAACAAATGTAAGAAATGGATAATTAATGGGAAAATATATACAGGCAATGATCAATGGCTGCTAAAACAATTAGGTGAAAGTTTGATGGAGACCTTTATGTTGGATGCATCAGTCTGACAAAAGCTGAAACCACTGATCCATGTTAAGAACATTAAAAGTGGGACAGATATTATGTGCCTCATGTGATGCAACAGGAAGTTTATAATGTAGACGTGCAAAAAAAATTTTGAATCCAAATATAAACAAATATAAACCAGTTTTACACAAAATATGGAAGAGCAGAAGGCAGGTGGCACTGAATAAAAGAAACTTCCCAAACCTATCAACCTAACGCACTGTGTGGACTTTTAGGTCATGGGAACACAACACTGAAGGATCTTACGTGTTCTTAAGGAATCACTGTTACCTGTGTTGAGTATGATGATGACACTGGTCACGTTGAAGTGATGTACCTGTAAGAGATAAATACTGAAAAATTTACAGGTGACATAATTTCTAGAATATGCTTTAAAATATACCAGCAAAAACAGCAACAATACAAAGAAGCTGAGGACAGACAAAAACAAACAGCAAAATGCTGAAGTCACTGAAGCTAGGCGATGGGTGTGTGTGTGAATCACTTCACTGTCTCCTCTACCCTGGTGGGTTTGAAATTTTTCTGAAGACCTTTTTTTTTTAAAGTAGGGGCTACTAATCACAACCAGGGTCCTAGGGAACATCCTTATCACAGGGCTCCATATCCACCCACCCACCTGTAGACAACCTGTTGGTGATAAAATGCTCCTGGCCTCACAGATAGCCCCTCTGAGGTAAACTATTTGAGGAAGGCCTGGCGTTTGCTCCATTTTCTGGTGAGCAGTGGTGCCCATACTAACATTTAAAATTTGAGAAGGACACATATATCAGATTAACTTAATGTCTTGAGTAGACTACGAGAATAAATATTTTCTAAAACTTACAGGGCCAAGGGATCCTTAAGAAGTCCTTTAATTTGGCTCGTTACCTCTGGGCAGGCTATTCCACCCATATAACAAATATTTATGAAGACTTCTTATGTGCCAAACATAGCGCTAAACAAGGCAGGGCTCTGCTCACTGAAGATTATAAGTTAGTAGACCAGATCTAAGCCACCCAGCCTCTGGAAGTCCTTTCTGAATAGGACAAGGAATAGCATGTTATTAGTGACCACACACTCATGCAGTGCTCAGCTAAGTACTACCTATGTACGATCACATTTAATCCCTGTAATGGTCCTATAAGGTAGGTAGTGATAGTATCCCCTTTACAATTAGCTGCAAGTATAATATGTCATTTTTAATGAGACATAAAGCAGATAAGACACTTGCTCAAGATCATCTAGTAAATGATATGAGTGAGATTTAAACCCAGGCAGTCTGGCTCAAGACTCTCTTTGGTCTACACTCTTGGCTACCACACCATAAATTCAAGCCACCCTGGCTGGAGTTAGCTCAATTCAAGTACCAAAGAGATGGCTCGGCGCCTGTGGCTCAAGCGGCTAAGGCGCCAGCCACGTACACCTAAGGTGGCGGGTTCGAATCCCCAGCCCGGGCCCGCCAAACAACAATGATGGCTGCAACCAAAAAATG